ACCACCAGACCAGACGAAAGGAAAGCCTTTCTCCTCCTCCTCAGTCTACGACAGCGTGGAGATACAGCAACCTCATCTGCCACCACTGGGGCCATGACCAGGAGAGTGGACAGCTCTGGGACAACTGGATCAGGGACCACCGAAGTCAGGTCCTCTTGGACCAACGGGTTTGGGACCTCCGAAACCAGGTCCTCCAGGACCACGAGCTTGGGACCACCAAAATTGGGTCCTCAGGGACCACCGGGCTTAGGACGACCGAAGTCGGGTCCTCCCGGCCCACTTGAGACCCCCAACTCAGAGCCGCTGGACATCATGGATTTGGAGCCATTAGACAGCACTGGTTTAGGGCTGAAGAGATGCTGAAGTGGGGAATGGCGTCAGGGTCCATATCGACCACTTACTCTCCTGCAGCCTCCACGAGTCCCAGGGAATATTCTAGGCTAGGCAGGATCCCTCAAAGGACTGCTTGTAGAGTGTCAGCTGAACAGGTTGTGCTGACGGAGGGGGCTTCAAGGGAGCTGCTAGCAGTATTGGACCTTCCTCTTCCAACTTAACAGCTGGCTGCTATGGTCTCCTCAGTCCTTCGAGCACACATGGCAAATTACTCAAACTCCCTCTGACGTACAGGAGAATTTATCCCACCTTTCATGTCTCTAAAATAAAACCTCTGTTTCATGCATTCCTCACTTCACCATCTCTGCTTCACTGGAATACATCTCTTCACCATTGTGAGACTGGATTGTCCCTCAGCATCCCTGTGCTACCAAGTGCTTCATACCGGACATTATCTTACCATCACTCTCTCACTTTTCTACCTGGACTTCTGATAAATATATACTGTTGCACAATATATGCTGTTGCATATATACTTGCACTTGAATCTTCTGTTTACTTATCATAACACACGGTACACAATTTCATCCAAAGGGGACACCCAAATCACCCCAACTCAACCCAAAGCATTTCGGGGCCCCGGATACAATGGCCCTGATGCCAATAAAGAACCTTTATTTGTAAGAGTATAAATTAATGAAGTCGTTTATGATTATATAAAAAAAAGTATGTAAACGTTATATGGCTTTTTTGCACACAGTAACTGTTATCCATCAATATTTCAAAGCATTCCCTCGAGTCACACTCACTTTTTTGTATTTTGGTTTCAAGCTCTACCTATTGCTCTGAGAAATGCAGAAAAGCATAGTCTCTTCTCTTTATTTAGCTACTATATCCAGCAATATGCACATAGACGTTTTGGGGGGAACAGAATGGTTTTCCCTTGAGTCTAACTGGAAACAGAGTGAGGTGATATGAATAACAGAGCAGCACAGATATCCTTTTATCTCCCGCTGTGAAACATACAGACCTGGGAGATCAGGATTATATCATAGCTGCGGGCCGTCGCTGCTGAGTTTGCACAATCCTCTATAAATTTGTTTTAGTCTACTATTACCTGCTGCCTTCTTTAAGTTTAGGGCTCTGTTCTAGAATCTAATGAGCTGCCTCTAAAGGCAGCGTTGTAAGGCATCACAGTTGCGCTTCTGACACAAAGGCATTTTTAAAAAGCTTAATTATGCTCCCTTTGAAACCATATTTCAGCACAATTAATGACATCTTCTTTGTGGAGAAAGTAATCCCAGAATGCTCTGCGACAATATCTGTCTAAGAATAACAACCATCCATCCATCCATCCGTGGCTAGTGACTTTCAGAATATATGAATCAATAGTGCAGTCTACTAGTTAGTGAACTTTTCCTGTTCTATCACACTCAGAGCAAACTTCTTGATTGCTTTACCTCTATTTTCAGGCGGTAGGATTCTTTTAATCAAAGCACAAGTCTTACTACGTTTGGGGAGGTTTTGAACTGAAGGAGGTTGGACATAAAAGCACCGTGCAAGAGGATGAAATGAAGATTCAGGCTTTGAAGAACGTATAGATATAAAGTCCAATATACTCACTGCTAGGATAAGATCAGCAGAGGTAAAAAATATTTGCATGTTCAATTTTTTCATCTCAGCTTCTTTTCAGTGACATATCACTTCAGCTACACACCTAAGGTGTTTGCATCTCACTTTGATGTGTATAAACATGCTACTGATCCATAATTGTAAAAGCAGGAGACCGTGGATAAGCAATCTAGGTTATGCATAAGAGGCTGATGCAGCAAGTGGACCTGGTTCATGGTATAACTAGGTCATTATTCACTTTCCTCTGCATTTGATTTCAGCTTTTGCATAACTTCAGTTTAGCTTTCTATTTAATTTTCAGAGATCAGGACCTCTTTTGCTGAGAATGAAACATTTTCACTTGGAATTATTTTCATGGGTTTGAGCATGGTTATTTCAAGAGGTTGCGTAAGAAGTGCCAATGAGAACTACAGTAAAAGCTAATGATCTTGTACAGCTTGAAAAAACAAGTAAATGTGGTGGTTGTTGGATTTTGTCAGTAAGCATGGTAAGAAGTGAGCCTTTGTACTCTTTCCCAACAATTTAATCAAGGTGGTTTTTTAAAAAAAAAAAAAAAAAAAAACACGGTTTGGCGTGTTTTTCAGCTGATCCAGATAGTTACGAACAACAGGGGCAAACAGTGGCGCCATCTTGGATTTTTAGCAGGAAATGAAAGTGAGGCTGTGAGGGATAGATATCACTTCAGTGGGTTGTCCTGTTATTTAATGTGTATTTGGATTGCTCTCCTGACGAAACACTTCAAAAATATCTTTCCAAAAAATTTCATTGGACAAAAAACTCCAGACAACATGAGCTGCGGAAAATGTGAAAGTGATCCAGGAGCTTTATACAACTTTTTACAGCGGATACACTCTTAAAAATAAAGGTTGTTTATTAGCACTGATGGTCACTGTTTAGCACTGAAACCTTTTAACATCAGTGGCACATTTCAATCTTTATTGTTGAATCTAAAAATTTAAAAATGTTCTTTAGATTATTAAAATGTTTTTTTAGATTATGAAAATAATGTTCACTAAAAGTTCCTTTGGGTAATTACTGTAATCAATAATATCAAAGGTGAGGGCCAAAATGTAAAGCTTATAAGAGATTTGTTCAAATCCCTTACTCTTAGCAAACACCATAACAGTACAGCTAGTGCACTTTAAACTACTGATGGATATGCCGTGCTACAGTATATAAATACATAAAATGAAAAGATCATGTCATAAGAAAGAACATGACATGATAAGACCATCTGTCGCCATCCAATCACTGTTTATACTATGACAAGTTCAGATAAGCACAAAGCCACAATTCGAAACATATCCCTTGAGGTGTTGCTATCAGCGGAGAACTGATTGCCGATCTATACTGCTGTATGGTGCATTAATGCATGCTGACATTGATGCAACTGAACAGCACATGTGGATGTTAGACGTTATTTGCCAAAAGCTGTGCATGAGATAAACAACAGATGGCCACGTTTGTATGCAGTCGCGCCTCGCTTGTTTTATTTACCATTGAACACACCCCTGATCATCAGGCTTTGCTTCCATAAAGTATTTATTCTCAACTGAATGTTAGAGACGCATAACAAATTGCCCTCTAAAGACAGTGAGTTGGCATGTGGCGGCTCAAATGACACCTTGTTTATCTGTCTGCGCTTGCGAGTGTGAAGCTCAGTGCTTCGATGAGGGACAGCACTAACCGCTGAGGATAAAAGCGATCGGATGGTGCAGGTTTGGGATAGCTATCAAAGATAACATGAAATGGCTTGACAAGCCAGTTTTTTTTCCACTGCGTCGACATTTTCTATTAAAATCGAATGTTGGAGTGAAATTTTGATGTCTTGTCAAATCCATGAACTATGATTTGCTGCTTTAATTCTAGCGATAGGCTGGTACAAAAGGAGAGGGGACATTCTCATTGTAGAGAGCATTTGATTGGACAAAAATGTTAACACGCCCCTGATGTGTCGTGGGTGAAGAACGAACCCAATTGCAGACAGCAAATAACTCAAAAAGGGTTTAATAATGACAAAAACAGAAAACAAAACCCACATTGTGGCAAAACAACACAACACTAAGACTCAGACTATAAGCTAACAACTAAGACAGGATCAAACACTTCTTTCTAGACAAGACTTTCAACAGGTTACTCACATTTTGTTTCACACAAAAGTATGATACACAATGAACCAGCACAGGACAGCAAACACAGGGGATTTAATAGGGAGAAACTAATGAAGGGAACAGGTGAAGCGGACTAGACAGTAATGACAAGAGAGGATAACAAGGCAGGTTACGTAACGAGACAACACAAGCACATGGCCCAAACACCATCTGGGCCATGTGCTTGTACACAAAACATGGGTCTGCCATCTTGCCACAAGACTAGGAAAATCAAGAATATGATGGCAGAATCATGACAGTATGAGTCATCAAATTTTGGTTTGGTTTTTGTCAGAAGAGAAAGACCGTTTTGAAGTATGTATGAACCAAAATGACCAAATTGACAAAAAAAATATCTGAATATGAAAAATAAATGACTAAATACACAATCTATGCAGGAGGGATATTCAATCTATAGGCCTATCTGTTAAAATACACACAATAAACATAGGCTAAACATATTAGCAATCTTATCAATCAAGATGACTCCAAACACAACTATAATATAAACCGGTTTAAATCTACACTCATAGCAACGTGTTAAACTATACTCTAAACAAATTAGGAAACTCATAGCAACATGCCAAAATATACATTAGTAACACATTAGTAACCTTATAATATGTTAAAATCTAGCAAAATAGCAACATGCTAAAATCTACAAAGAGAACCTGTAGCAATGTGCTAAAATCTACTTTGAACATGTTAGCAACCTCGTAGCCACCTGGTAAAATCTAAATTTTAAACATATTTCGCGACAATTTTGTTCTACTCTTGAACTAGGTTTCTTCACTGGTAATTAGAGCTGGTCAAAAATCTGCAGTAACATTTTTCATTCTTGTCATGTCTGTGATCGCAGGAGGTCTCAGAAACAGCATCGGGTTGGATAATCTTTCAAAACCATGCTCACTTACTGCCAGACGAGAGGGTAACGAGGCCCAAAACAGTGGCAGAGAGACAAATTGGACAAACAGCTGGGCTTCGAGAGAGTATGATGTTTGTGTGGAGGACAGGACAGCTGGGGAGACACACATGAAATTGGCAGCAGGTATGTCATGAGTGATCATTTCTTTTTTCATGCTATAACCTCCTAAATTCATATAAGAAACACAAAACAAATATAAACCCCAACATTTCTTTATAAATAGCCATTTTTATACACATACTGTATAACTCAACAAGTAATTTCAGATGATTTTTACACATTTCTATACCTATATAGAATTTCTATTCTATACTTCAAATAAGTAAGTTATGTTGAATTATTTCAAAGCACAGTGGCACCACTACCATGCAGAATGTAAGGTTATTTGGCTCATCAAGAAAGTCTAGTGAGCATTTTGACTGGAGGATGAAAATCACCTGAATGTGGGACCTTAAAACAGCTTTTAAAGACTTGGATGAGACCTCCAACCTCCAAATTCATCTTGCGCTATAAGCCAATGGCTCTAAGAGTCTGGATTGAGAGGTTGTGTACCAGTAACGAAATTTTGGTTGTTTAGACACCTTGCGTTTGCCAAAGAAGATAAAGACTGGAATGTGAAAGATTAAAGCCGTGTTCTGCAGCCCGACAAAAATTTAACAACCTAAAATTGGATGGCGTCAGGAGACAACTGGAGTGTTGTAATGCCAAATGCATGCGTGATGCCATTAATCACGACAGGAGAAACAATGGTATTGGGGATGCATGTCTGCAGGAAATGTTGGATGAATCTACAAAGTTGCTGGCCAATGGACCAATACCTGGGAATCCTGCTGAACACAATGTTGCCAATTATGGAGGATCTGTTTGGAGATCAAATGTGTATTTCCCAGCATGATAACAATCCCACGCTCTGTGCAAATGCAACAAAGATGTTCACAATAAAAGTGTTCATGCTTAACGTCTCCTCAGTCACCTGACCTTAAACCCTTTGAAAAACTTTGGCAAATTATAAACCTGAATTGTGATAAGTCATGCGGGTCTTCCAATGAAGATTAAAGGGATACTCCACTTTTTTTTGGAAATAGGCTCATTTTACAACTCCCCCAGAGTTAAACAGTTGAGTTTTACCATTTTCGAATCCATTCAGGCGATTTTCTGAAACTTAGAAGAATATCAGTAACCAGACAGTTTCTGGTCTCATTGACTTCCATATACTATGGAAGTCAATGAGACCAGAAACTGTCTGGTTACTGATATTCTTCTAAATATCTTAAAATCGGCTGAATGGACTCAAAAACGGTAAAACTCAACCATTTAACTCTGGGGGAGTTGTAAAATTAGCCTATTTCCAAAAAAAGTGGTATCCCTTTAACTTTGGGGAAAACTAAAGGAGGATTGGAAAACCCATAGAGATTGCCTTTCTTTCCAAATAATATCATATTGTCAACACCTTTTTAAAAAACAAATTTAGTATATTCTTAATTCCCAATGTAGCATCCTCCTCATATTTTGAATGTTTATTGAACCTGAAGGGTCAATTATTATTGTGCAAATATCCCCTCCGGACATCACTTTTGCCCCCTACTGTACTGTACTTCACCCTGAAATGACAAATGTTTACTCTCTCATGTTATTTCAAACCCTCACACTATTAATCAGGAGAAATTCTGAAGCAGAAACTGTAACAGAAGCACTAAACTAAAATATGGAATTCTAAAACAGTGAATCTGTTCTGCCTTATTTAGAAGATCCCAGAGCACAAGGGCTCATTAACCGGACTGTGAAGAAATCTTGATGTGCAAGCTACGTCCATCATATATTGGCCAATGCAAGTCCTATGAACCAGTAAGTATGATGTTAAAAGTAGTTTATGGAGAAAAGATGAAAACTGTTTATGTGAAGAGCACTTTGCCTCTGAGGAGTAAGAGAAATACTCATGTGAGAAGCACAAGAACATGTCTTCCCCTTCTTTTCCCTTCTAAAAATGATCTTTCTAACCTTCATGGAAAACTAGCCAGAATAATTTAATCAATTTGCATCTATTATGGAGGACAGCAGCTTTGATCTTAAAGTGAGCAAGTTATGAGGTGCTCTGGGTTATTGTTGCTTGCCTAATGAAGTGTCTAGATACCTAATATTAAGGAGGCCCTATGTGACCCTGGATCACAAAACCAGTCACAAACAGGTATATTTGTGGCAGTAGCCAACAATACATTGGATGGGTCAAAATTATCACTTTTATTCAGTTTAGATTCATTCCATATAAATCTTGCAGGAAATAACCAGTATTATATTACACAGCTGACGCCTTAAGTTTTAGGAGTGTTCATTTTTTTCTTTTGAAAGACGTTGGCCTCCTAACTTTTTTGTGCTTTTCTATCTGTCATTCAAACCTATGTAACCTTTTACTACAAAGCACTCAGAATTATTGGAGAAATAAAGAGCCATGGACCTTTCAAGCCCTTGAGTGCTATAGATGATCTTTACATTAAAAAAAGGGCTTGAAAGAGCTCATGTATTTCAATACCATAGAGAGGAAGAAAGACAGAATTGCAGAAGAGATAAAGAGGTCAATTCTCGCCTGGTAAGACAAATGGGTGCTGTTTTAAAGTTTGATATGTTCTTATATAACAATTGCTCTTTAATGGACCCCATATGGAATTTTAGAGCACTGTTTTCCTACCTGCAATGGATTCCCAAAGAAAAACAACACCCAGTATGAATTTATAGAGAATGTTATTCACTGGGGTCATGTGCCATCCTGATGTTACATAATATTTGAAACAAATGAAAGATGTTCCCAAATTGAGAAACTCTTAATTATGAACATGTGGATCCATAACTAAAGACAATTTTTGTTTTCATTCTGTTTTATATGCTGACTCAGTTCAGAGGATTCTCTGTGATCTATGAAGAGATCCCCTCAGGCATCCCCAAAACGTTTCTCTGAATGTGATAAACAGTTTTTGTCTCTTTTTCCATTACCCCTTTTTTCCTTAAAGGCGCTGTATGTAATTTTAAATTTGAAAAATACCATAATATGTTTGCAGATATTTTGGAACCATGTCAAGGTCACATACTTATTTATCTGAAAAGCAATGCTACAGCCAGTTATTCTACTTTGGAATGGTCTGTTTTTGTTTTGGTTTGTGTGACTCCGCCCACTGCCAGTTTACCCAGCAGTAACACCATCAGCTGCCAGTTACCAGAAAACACAGTTTTCAATATTAATTTTATTGCATGATTTGTAAACACCCACCAGTTTGAAAACACCCACAAATTTAGAAACAAACGGCCACTTCCTCATGAGCATTAAGGCTGAGGAGGATTTGGCTCCACCTCCAAACCAGTGCCATTGGTTGAGTTAGAGTTGGTATTCTAAAAACTAGTTGGTATTCTAAAAAAAATAAATAAATAAAAAAGTAACATGACAGTGACAACATGGCAGATGTATTACTTTGGATTTAATTCCTACTACATACATTCATACATATAGAGTAAAATTTGTTTCCGCCACTATATAAAAAATAATAAAAAAAAGTAATTTTGACTTTTTATCTCACAATTCACACTTTTTTTCTCACACCTGTTTGTTTACATCTTGCAATTCAGCAAAATAAAGTCACAATTCTAAGAAATAGTCAATATTCTGAGACAAACTTAGAGTTGCAAGAAAATGTTGGAAATGTCAGCTAGCAGACTTTTTTTCTAATAAATGTACTTTATAGCTCACAATAGTTTATTCTCGCATCTTATCTTACTTGTGACTTTATATCTCAGAAAATGTTTCACAAAAATGTCTTAATTGTCATAAAAGCAATTACCTTTTATATATATATTTTTTTACTTCATGGCGGAAACATAATATATAACTAACATATTTTAAATGGATGCGATTTACTGTAGGATTAACCTACAGTGTTTACACTTCTTAAAGAACTGAACATACTTATACATAGTTGTCTCAGCATATTACGCCAAATATATTGGCTAAAAAACATACTTTTGGGGTTAAAAAAAAGAAAGATGAGTGCTATTGTTAATTAATGCAGTTTGCTTGTGTAATTGTTTTCGTTTTCACATCAGTCTTCACATTAATCAGAATCACACGCCGAACTTCATAAGTTTCGAATCAAATAAGTGAGTTGTTGTCTTTGCTTTGTGTTGGATCTAAGTGCAGTGGTACAGATATCTTGCGCTTGTCTGCCTTGTACTGCACCAAGAACCATTGTGAGCATGAAGAGAATACATTTGCATGAAATTAAATAATTGGAGGACAGATCAAAACATTACACTGCTAGCGGTTAGTGAGAGGTAATTACTTTCAAGAGTGACGGAGGGGGATGGGGGATGGGCAGATGGCTATGCTTTTAATTTAAATGAGACAGATTAAGTTTCCATAACTTAAATTAAATGGCTTGGTTAGTCATCTGTGCAGAGAGAACGTATGATATTTCCCATTCACAATTTACTGTTATAATTAAGTTGCTGCACTTTTTCACATGACCCTTTGCTTATGGCATAAAGTCGCGAACCACTTTCCAAGAACAAGGATATCAATAATATTTGGGGAAAACAACCCAGACTAACTGAAATAAGGTATCTGTGGCGACATTTCTCAATGATTCATTCCTTTTTGCATTTCGGTTTTATCCAAAGCAGATGAACATGAACTGGATCATCATGTATGTATCAATGAATGACACATTTTTGTCATGGTGTGTGCATGAATGTTTGTGAAATTATGTTGCTTAATCCGATCACTTTTTGCACTTAAATTGCCTTATTCTTACTGTTGACTCTTAGTGCTGTCAGTGATTAAAATATTGATTTTGAAGATGTTGAAAATTATATTTTTGAAAAAGTTTGAGATCGCGAAAATAGAGCCAGATGCTGAATGTACTAGGAAATGAGCTCTGACGATGACAGTGATGATGGTACGAAACATAGGCTCAATCTGAACCCTTTATTTTATTCTTATGTAATTGTTACTCTAATATCAGGAGGGATCCATCCGTTTTATTTATAGATCCGGGTCGCTAAAGACCCGAATATGTAATAATGATTGGCGAAACATGGATGGATGGATGTGTTTTTCCAAATTCTATGACATTATTTTGGCAGTTAATGTTTTGGGCGGGTTTTTCTTGGAGTGGGTGGGTTTTGGGCTAGAAATTGTGGACCCAATCGGACAAGCACTACTAATGTTGATGTCAGCTGAAAAGAAAAGTCGTTTTAGAGGCAGAGCAAGTGATTTGATTTTAATAAAAGATTGTTAAGACAGCTCTTAGAATTTCACAGTAAGACCAAGAATGTGTGTATATTGATTTATTGTTTGTGTGGTATTAGGCATACTGCAGAGCTCATACCCATGATTACTATAGTCAAATATCTTAATGGTGTCTTCAACATATTGTGATAAAACGGTTTTACAGACAGTGAATGTCATTAAAGCCTGACAACATCTCACATTGAAAATGTGAGTTAATTTTCCTTGTAAAGTGTGGAATAATGAACTAGTCGGAGATTTTATGTCCCAGTGAGTGATGCTTCATATTGTGTCTGTCTAATGGGCTCCTGTTGCTGTGGAAACAACATTCTTTTTAGCTGGATGAATGGAGTTCCATTATATACAGGCCCTTAAGTCCACCAACACCAAAAGAGAGGTTTTACAAAAATACCAATAATAACAAAAGGCAGATATGAAAAAGGAATTGCAAGGTTGAATTCTTTTCTGCCCCACTAGCTAAGGCAAATGAAATGTGTCAAAACAGGACTATAAAGCAAAAGCTACAAAGTGAGAAAGACAAGGACAAAGAAAACGAGAAAAACAAGAACCTTTTGAGCCATCAACATCAAACTAAATATAAGGCACTATATTTGTACATTTTTCAGATTCACTTTACCGTGGGAGCAAAGGTGAGTGAACGCGTGCCCGGGGGCATTCTGTAAGATGGCTTTCCTTCTTTATGTTACGAGTTCACTCGTTTGAAGTTTCTCAGTCCTCTGATGATAAGGGTGAACAGCAGTAAACCAGTATCAGTCTGCGCTGTGGTCATTTAATTGTTTAATTGTAGGTTAGAGCAAAATAAAGATAGCTTGTGAGCCATGCATAGTGCACCATGCGTAGTGCTAACCCATAACTGATGAATTATTGACAATAATCCACACCCGAGGTGGTTACCAGGCTTAAAATGTTTTGGACATATTAGTAAACCCTTTATTGTCACTTAGTCACAAGTACCAGCGAAATTGACCATCAATCTGTCCATACAAGCATATATACGATATGACAAGGGGGTAGACAAGACAGGAAGACAGGGAGTTGTGGGGAAAAAAATGACATGACATGCTCCTGTAAGGAGCACTGTGTGGGAACAGGAAAAAAAACACCTCAGCAACATAAGCACACAATCAGTACACTCTAGAACATGAACAAAAACTTGCAACAGGGGTGGGGAGAGGGGAATGGAGGTAGCCCAGCCATTCGGTCCTGCAGCCATTTCGGCACTGGTCACAGACCCGCCTGGCAGCCTGGGTGGTACAAAGCGGCGAAGACGAGGTATGGGGTGTGGTGCGGGTGATTGCATATCTGTAAATGTAAGAGGCATCATAATCTGTGCCTCAGTCCACAGGATTGTCATATTGTTACACAGCAAGTTGCAATGGAGACAATGGCCTGCATTAGTAACATTGCCCTGTCCTGTCTTGGTCTTTTGCTGTTTACATAAATAAACATCACCTTTTATTCACAATTGGATCGTGTGTTTCGTGACTTAACAAGTAGTTTGAAATGCACCAAAGCGACTGAGAAAAGCTGTAATACTTGCGGTTTGGGGTTTTGA